GAAACTCCAAAATTCAAATTCCAAATAAAAAGGAAGAATTAGTTCACTTCCCCCTCTTTTCCCCTTCTACAACTAACACCTTCATAAAAAACATTCTCCCTTCAAACTCCCAAACATATCTTAGGAGCAATTTCATTTGCATGTGATGAATAAGAATTCAAGGTCACTATAGACTTATTATTAGCTATGGTACATGAAAACGCGTTTGATAGCCCCTATTTTTAGTTGATCAACCTTATCAATCATTTTCTCTCTATCAAAGTCGTGACTTTGACGTCGCGCGCAGAATTGTGCAATTATCAAAATAAGTAAGGATGAAATCATTTTTCTAGTTGAATTGCTTGAAATTACGATAGAGAACCACTTAGGCTATTTCCGTCCAGGGGCGGAGTTAGGGGGTGCCTAGGCTAGGCCCTGGCCCACCACAAATTTAAAAAATGTCAATATTTTTAGTGTAAAAAAATTCGTGTAAAATTTTTCCCAATAATATTCTTTGTACCGGCCCAGTTTGGCCCAATGCCCTGGCTCCGCCCCTGTTTCCGTCTAAATTTTTCGCTATTTTATTACAAAATACATTTTAAATAAGATTCTAAATAATTTAGCGGCTTCAACCGCTTTATCCACAGTTCTTATAAATTTCAGCTGATTCAACCAAATTCTATGCCATCAAATAAGTTGTAATTCCCTTTTCATGTGTTTTCTAAACTATTATTGTATCTGTTTTATGTTAACGCCGAACATTTTTGAATTGAGATGAGATTCGAACATATGAGCTAGTCTGACGTTGCATTAATGTCTTGTGATCACATAATACTTAGGAATGGAGTATGGAGCATGGACTATACCATCCCGCCTAATTGACATGTAAGAGTCAAACCAAAATAAATGATGCGTAAATGCTAGTAGGATCGATCTGGTAAACCTATTCATGTACAAACATCCCACGTACTTGGTGTTTTAATTTCAAAATTCTCTCTTAGCTCATATATATTGTCACTAATTCACTAAAAGTTCTCAAAGGTAAAATGGCTTCATCACATTTTTAAAAAAAAGTTTTGACGCCTAACTTTATATTGTATTTGTTTTGTTTGGGTTTCCTGGGTTTTCAAGTATGTTTGCCTGGGTTTTCTTTATTGATCGTTCCCCTCAAAAGTCATAACATTCTTTCTCTCGACCGCTTAGATCAGACAAATGTTCCAACGAGTCTCGAGATGGGATGGCTTCGTTGCGACCATCGCCACTATAATTTCCGCTTCGCTCGTGGTGGTCCGGGCTGTTATTGTTAGCCCAATCAGCAACAAGAGCTTGAACTCAAAGGCTCTTCCTAATCCTAATGATTTTTATATAGGACTATTGTATGGAAAAGTACCTCACTTAAAAAAATCATGTCTAGGTCACCTTCTACGCTGAGCTAGACCTCGAGTAACGACTGCCGTGCTTCTATTTTTGTGAGGCATTTTGAAAAATGAAATGATTATTGCGGACATAATTTTTTACATCATACTCCATGTAATTAACCTAATCTTCTTTTAATATAAAAAGCTGATAATAAGATGGAACATGTGACATTGGATCGGGTCCCGCAAGTGATAGTGTGAGAGTAATCTTTCAATGTTAAGGGACTCTTTGTGCGCAACGGACACTAATCTAACCACTCAATTTACAACCTTTTGTATGCTCGATCAGGGTAGGGATCCATGGGGGTGGAGATTCAACTTTTGTGGAACAAGTAAATCTATAATGACCAAATTATTATTTCTCTCCCAACTCACGTGGTACCTGCAACCTACTAGCTATCGTATAACTAAATCTTATAACCTGCAATTTTGTGTACATAAAGTATAAAATGAAAAACTGATTGATCAGCGGTAACTGCTCGACAGAGATAACCCGTATTTCGCCTAGATAAATAAAGGCAAACGTCCAAAATATAGAGAGCACTAGAGCAGCGAAGTGGCAAGGACAGCCCTAAAATGTATTCCACGTCTCGTAAAATTCTCTCACTTTCCTTTTTGGGTTGTTCAAAAAAATTCTTCCCACTTATCATTTTTGGACAATTTGTGTGGTTCACATTCATTTCACTTTTTTCTTACACAACCACAACTATACATTTCCATTTTATTTCACTTTCTTAATCTCCGTGCCAAGTCAAAGTGAGAAAGATTTTATGGAACGAAGATAGTACAACATACAATATTCAAAAGTTTATATAAAGTACAAATCAATTATGGCCCGAGCCTCTAGTTAAAAACAGAAATATTAGCCGTACATTATTCAAAAGTTTAACTAAAGTCAAAATATTGTTGCATGGATATAAATTAAAGACAAAAGTTACATCAATATTATTGCACATAAAGCATCAAAATGCAATAATCCTGATAGTTAAGGTATCATTTGTACATTTTACCCTGATTTTTCACATTCTTGTTCTCTTAGATGAAACATTAAAAGTTTAGGGCCTGTTTACAAACAGAGATATTTTCCAGTTTTCCATAAAACTGGAAAACTAGAAAACAAAAAACGGGAAACATGTTTACCAAAGAAAATTGTTGGAAAACTGGAGAAAGGAAAACACAAAAACGCGTTTACCAAATCGTTTTCCAAAACGAAAAAATGAGACATGTCTCTCTTTTCCTTAATGATTTGGAGAAGTGACTTTTACTAGTTTTCCAAATTTGAAAAACGCAGATGCTACAGGCCGCTGCAATGAATTTGCATACTTACACCTAGTGGTGGGCTCGGTCCCACTCCGGTGTCGAATCCATTCTAGTACATCCATCCTCGTACCTTACCCCTTACCTCTACCCTACCCTACCCACCTAACCCCCGCCCCACATACCCCTTTTCCCTACAATGACCCTACCCCCACCCCCTAGCACATGCCCCTACCTCGGTCCCACCCCGATCCATCCTACCCTACCGCCACCCCTACCACCTCAACCCCACCCCGACCCACCCTACCCTACCCACACCTCGTATATTACCCATTACCCATTCCCACATGCCCCCTACCTCGGCCCCACCTTACGGTCATCCTACCCCCACCCTCGTACCGCCATCCTACCCCCACCCTACTGTCATCCTACCCTCACGACCATCCTACCCCCACCCCACCCCTTCCCCTTCCTAGGCCCCACCCTGATCCCGGCCCCACCATACCAACATCCTACCCCCACCCTACTGCCATCCTACCCCCCACCACCATCCTACCCCCACCCACCCCTTCCCCTTCCTAGGCCCCACCCTGATCCCGGCCCCACCCTACCGCCATCATATCCCAACTCCCTACCCTACCCCTACCTAACCCCAACCCTACTCACTACCCCCACCCTTACCCCTAACCACCACCCTAACCCACCCACTATCCCACCCAACCTCATACCCCTAGACCTCCCCACCCCACCCTGAGCATACCCCTTACCCCACCCCATCCACCCCCACCCATACCTTCCTTCCCTACGCCGACCCTTACGAGTAGGTATGAGTGGGTCTGAAGGGTTTTAGGGGAGTATGGGTAGAGTGTAAGATCGTGGTAAGGGTAGGGGTAGGGGTCAAGAGTGTGGAATTGGGTGTAGGGTGTAAGGTGGGGCCGTGGGGTACAAGGTATAGGGGTAGGGTAGAGGCTAGGAGTATGGGTACATGTACGAGGTGATCGACCCCACATATTATATTATATATTTGTGTTCATGAATGTTTGTGTGTCTATATATGTATAGGGTTATTCTGGACATTTTAATGTTAAACGGTATTTTAAACCTTTTGAAGTAAACATGATCTTATAACATTGCTTATTTTATGTGTCGCTTATTAACGCGGGTCTTAATAAGCACCATTTAGTACCCCGTGACGTAAACGTGTGATTCTTCTGGATGATCACAGAACTGGGTGAAAAAATTGATGAACATGTTTTCAGATTAGAAAATGGAAAACTAAAAAATAGAAACAGAAAACTGGAGATAGAAAAACTGAAAAATAAAAATAGAAAATTGGAGAACGAAAAACAGAAGTAGAAAACAGGAAAATATCTCTGTTAGTAAACATGCCCTTATTTTTTTATTTATTTTTCACAATCTTATGACATCACCGGACAATAGCTTGAGATGATTGTCATGAAAGTTAACCAATTTTTTTTATAACTAAGATGACAACGTAAAATCTATCTTAAACTGAGAATTAGTTTGGTATTCTTACAAAATATTTGGAGCCTAAGAACTACCATAATTGCATGACAGACCACGATTAAGGATAATGTTTCCAAATGAGTTGGTTTTAGCATCGTATCAAATGACTGTCACTTAAACAAACTAAGAGCCTCTTTGGTAGCTTAGTTTTTTGGTTTATCAAGCTTACCCGTCAACCTTTTCACCAAATACGTAATTTTTGATTTTGAGCGTAGAATTACGAAATACTCCTTCCGGTCCTAAATAAACTTCACACTTTACTTTTTGGGTAGGTCTAAAATAAACTTCACACTTCTTCTCTCTTCCTTATTTGGCAAATTACCTACACCAAAACAGTGTCAAACAGTGTCAAACAGTGTCACAACAGTGTACTCTACAATAGAGTCAAATTTATTTCCTTAATTTGTGTGAAGTCAAAGTGTGAAGTTTATTTAGGACCGGAGGGAGTAATAAGAAAAACTAAGGTTGAGGTTATTTTTTTGGCTGCATTGGCTGAAGTTACTGTAGAGGAACATTTTGACTATTTTTACATTTTTTTTTATTAATAAAATATATTTTGAATATAATTTTTTAATAAATCAGCAGAATCAGCCGATTCAGCCTATTCTGGTATACCAAACGGGCTCTAAATAACAATCCAAATTTTGTCAATAATAAATAATAAAACGCACATAAAATAAACTTTTATAATTTCACACTGATCAAAGAATTTTAGTTCAATTAAAAATATACTAATAACTTCAACCAAACAAAAATAGAAAGTTGGTTTAAAACTTTAAATAGTTATTTGAAAGTTTTCAGAAATGTGAAGATGTCCGCGTGGAATCAGTCGCCTATGCCATTCTTATCTGTTAGGAGAGTATAAATCTGATACAAATAATCATATACGTAGTGTTATTATTAATATCCTTATCAGCATAATCATTTCCTCTCTTTCAATATAAAGTGCTCTATTTTTTACAATTCATTCGTACAAAGCATCCTTATTTATACATAATAATACATGTTCTATCTTTCCATCCTGAAACTCCATGTCAGAAACAGACATTAAAAAAAGCAATAAAAAACTGAATGCATAGCGCTACGCCAATTCCATTTGGAGGAGAAGGATGAAGAATCACACGACGAAATCCCTCTCCCAAATTTCACCATTTTCTGGAGTCTGATAAACAGGAAATTAAAGGTTCCAATTCGAGTTTCTCTTTTTCCGGGGGTCTGTATATAAAAGGAGAAAGGAGGGGATTCAATTGGGGAGAAGAAAACAGGCATTTGAGAAAGCAATTGGAAAATCTGTTGGAGTCCTAATGGTTTCGGAAGATTATTATATCTCTAAGAAGAGAGACGATATATGTGAAGATGTTTGTTGCCAGGTATCCTTATCGATCCATCCCCTTTTTCTCTTTACAATTCTATTTTTTATTCTTTTTTCTATAATAAATGCATAAATGAATAGTTTTTGTTTGTTTTTTGGGGGCTGAGTACCAACAATTTCTTGCTTATTTATGCAGAATGAAGAACAACCATTATTATAATAATAATAATAATAACAGTCATATAACATCATCTGTTAATGTTTTGTTGTTGGAGAAACTTTTTTTGTTTTCTTTTTCATTTCCATTTGCTTTTTCTTTTGTAGGTTGTTTTTTGTTGCAGCCTGAAGCTTTTTTTTGGCAAATTGTAGCCCAAGCTATATCAATGACATCATTTATTTTAGCTAATGTAACTTGTTAATTGTTATCATTACTCTGCAATATATTAGGGAACTTCATTACTGCAGTATTTTCAATGTTTTGGATAAGGTTTTATGCTATGTTGCAAGGAAACCCAAAAAACATGGGGAAACAGGAAACGTCAACTTTTGCTCAAAAAAAGCTTATTTGGAGAGTTTTCGTAGAGTTTCCGAAACGGAAACGTACTCTTTCCCAAGAGTTTTTGTGCTACATAGGTTTTATGTCGTGTCAAAAGAAAGAACTTTAACAATCCCACCAAAGTTTGGGGCCCGTTTGGTTGAAGTCATTAGCTTAAATGACTGAATCTTTTGAGCTTGAAACCTGAAAGGGAGACTATGGCGGGATAAGGTGGATAATGTTACTGAACGAATATACACAGTATAATTATGTTCATCTTATATATGGGTATGACATTTTTCCTATATTACATAGACGGGTTAGACACAAAAGGCTAAATGGTTGGGGAGGTTTGTATTAGTTAGAGCAGCCGAGTTATGGTCGGCATGTTACAACTTCACAATAGTCGACCGAGCGAACACCCGACAGTGTTGACCCCATATTCAACTAGAGGTCCGCCAAGAACATAGACCGGTTACATTCGGCCACGCCCATCATTTTATATGCTCTGGAGCAGTGGCGTTATGGCATAGCGAGAGAGAAATAATGGTTTGCGCTAGTTGAAAGAATTTTCTAGTATAACGCTTTACACGATTTTTTAACATATACTCCAGAACAGTGGAGTATATGCTCTGGAGCAGTGGCGTTATGGCATAGCGGAGTATTACTTATATAAGTAGTATTAAATAATTTTACCAAATTTGGTATGGTGCCCTTTAACTGCACCTCTGTCGCCTGAGCCGGAGGCCCTAACAACCCCGGAACATGAAGCCTTTCCAAATAAACCTCTAGTCAGCACATCAGGTCGGGCAACAGTTGTCGTGCTATTATGGCAAACGACTAAGTCGCTCAACCGCTCCATAACCATTATGTGCGTAGGTCTTTGCGCAATTAGGGCACAGTAAGTGGGAAGGCTACATACATCTTACTCTATGTGCTCTACATAAAAGTTGTTCCACCCAACACATGGTCTTGTAATACACCATATCTGCCTAAATTCTGGTCTAATACTTGCATTATAGTTCTTGCTTTCCTCCACATTCTTACTTACCAGTTTTGTAGCATAAACTTTCTACATCTATGATCGAATACCGCTAGTCACTACATTGTAAAATGGAATTGAAACATTGTCGCTACTCACTATAGTCACTATAAAAAATCTCCACAGTTACAGCCATCTGCATATCTAGAAAATTTGTATAGGTTTTTGTACACGCCCCAGTATTTAAAAAATATGTGTTGCGTGTAAAAATGGCGTGTTTCCCTGACGTGTACACGAAGAAGGACTCGAGAAACAATTATCTTCATTAGTTTATTTTAACCATATGTACTTATCACTAATTCTGTTGGTGTTCTTGAACAGAGGGATTCCCCAGGGGTACTGACCGTGTCAAGATTGAAGTGCATGATCAGAGGATTAGATCTAAGGACGATCATATTTCTACTTGTAGTGGTTCCAGCAAGTGTTCTTGTGATTTTTGTACACGGCCAGAAGATCACCTACTTCTTCCGCCCGCTATGGCAGTCTCCGCCGAAGCCCTTCATCCACGTCGCCCACTACTACCACGAGAATGCGTCAATGGAGACTCTCTGCAAGCTCCACGGCTGGGGAATCCGTGAATACCCCAGGCGCGTTTTTGACGCCGTCCTTTTCAGCAATGAAGTCGACATGCTCTCTATCAGGTGGCAGGAGCTTTATCCGTACATCACTCGCTTCGTTCTTCTCGAGTCGAACTCGACTTTCACTTCTCTGCCCAAACCCCACGTCTTCGCGATGAATCGCGCCCGGTTTAGTTTCGTTGAGCCGCGGCTGAGCTACGCGACGGTCGGGGGAAGGTTCAGGAAGGGCGAGAATCCGTTCATCGAGGAGGCGTATCAGAGAGTAGCTCTTGACCAGCTTTTGAGAATCGCCGGGATAGAAGACGACGATTTGCTTATCATGTCGGACGTCGATGAGATTCCGAGCAGACACACGATTAACCTTTTGCGGTGGTGCGACGACATTCCGCCGGTCTTACATCTCCAATTGAGGAATTACTTGTACTCCTTTGAGTTTTTAGTTGACCATGGAAGCTGGAGAGCTTCTGTTCATAGGTACCGGACTGGTGAAACTAGGTATGCGCACTTCCGCCGGACTGATTACTTGTTAGCGGATTCCGGCTGGCATTGCAGCTTCTGTTTTCGCCATATCAGTGATTTTGTGTTCAAGATGAAAGCTTATAGCCATACGGATCGGGTTAGGTTTTCGCATTTTCTGGACCCGAAAAGGATTCAAGATGTGATCTGTAAAGGAGCGGATTTGTATGATATGATTCCAGAGGAATATACTTTCAAGGACATCATTGGGAAGATGGGGCCTGTTCCTCGTTCTTATTCAGGAGTTCATCTTCCTTCTTATTTGCTGAACAATGCTGATAAGTATAAATATCTCCTACCTGGGAATTGCAAAAGAGAAGCTGACTAATTAACTATTGCTGACTACTGGTTGCACACACATATATACATATATAAACATATCATGCCACAAAATATTGGTCCAGATTTTCATATACAGGAGAAGTGATTAGATGTTTAGATCAGTTGTTCTTTTTAACCTTCTTGCATTGGCTCTTCAAGGACAAATGTCTATCAAAATCTTCAAGCAAAGATCTTGGCTTAGGCAAGTCTGATGAAGTCTTTAGGAAAACAGGCTTACATATTAGTATCTGTGATTTGAATGATCTCATTGTGTCATACACAACTTCTATGACATTTAGATGTCCATTGTTTTGCTCTCTTATTTATACAGGGTAACATGTATTTTTACATTACTAACATTTGATTGTCAATTCTGATGTATATTTTCAAGTCCTTTGCAACTAAAAGCCACTGTTTGATGCTTTTTATTCTTCTGCTGAAATGTAAAGAACTTAGGCATCTGATCTCAGTTTTGGGTATTATTATTTTCAGCCATTTGCTCTATATTTTACATTCCAAAAAATATTATGAATGTGTGTTCCCAACGATGTCCTTGAGATGTACAACTTCAACGACTGCCAGGCAATTAGACACAAGAAGTTGCAAATATAAGCAAAGATTTGCTCTTTGCAAAAAGGAATGAGATGAGACTGGAAGATTAACAGTTTCAATAGGAATATGAAAATTTAGATAACTGAAGAAATTTACACCAAATAATATTCTTCAAGCATCGTCTATAATCACATCCTGATACATCACACTCCATTTAAATAGATGTGGACTCGGGCCGGGCCGGGTCCAGGTCGGGCCTAGACCCGGACGGGCCACCGGTTCTGAATAGATGGGCCCGGGTACCCACTGGGTCCGGGCCAGGCCGGGCCGGGCCTATTATCAATTTGTTTTTTCCTTTTCCTAATTAACCCCCTCCCACCCCCAACCCCCCAAACCACCCCAAATGGCCCAAAATACCCAGCCCAACCCGAAAAGTTAAAAAAATTGAAAAAAAATCAATTTTGGCCCGCACCGGGCCGGGCCTTCTTTTGGGTGACCCGAGCCCGGACCGGAAAACCCACGGGTCGGGCCTACCCGGACCGGTCAATGACCGGGCCACCGGTTCGGGTCGGGCCGGAACAGTGCCGGTTCTGGGTCGGCCACCCGGCCCGAGTCCATCCATACATTTAAATAGTCTATCAATGTGTTTAAGGAAGGCAGTACATGAAAAAGACACAATGGTGACAGCCTCTATCTTCCAAAATACTATTTTTTTCCAGAGATTCAGGGTCATCAGGTCATGTATAAGGATTAAGGAATAATTGATGTACAACGACCAGAAAACAAATACATAAAAATTATGGATAATTAAAATGCATTAAGACCGGAGTTTACATTCTAAAAAAAGTATAAAGAAGTAACTCGTGATCTATATGTTTGTTTATAATGGGACAAACATTTCAATGTCTTCGGTCCGAAGTGGGCTGCACAAACTGAGACAGATAAATGGGCTGTATTGAGTCAGTACAGCCCAAAATGGTCCAAACTGGTCCAAACTGGATTGGACATATATGAGACGGAAAAATGGATTGTACTGAAAGTCTGAAACTTAATGGGCTATCCCTAATCATGGGTGTCAAACAAACCACACTATGTTAATATTTGGAATTTCATCCTAAAGTGTAGGGGTCTTATGATTTACAGTCAAAGTGACAAACACTTCAACATTTATTCATTTACTTTCCTTTTTCAATATTATTAACAAATTATGCACTAGAATATCATTCCAAATTTCCAATGTTGCCTCGGAACATTTGGATGAGACCTTATTTTACAACCCTATGATACCGATTATTATTGCATTATTATAATCATTCAGAACTAATCAGAATAATTATTTTACAACGCCTACAGCTGTAAAACTGATGTGTGTGAAGGCGATAGGGTTTTTGAGCATCTCAGTAACATTGTTTAAAGCAGAAGAATAAACCCCTGCTGTTGTTGTTATCATCCACCGATGGGGTTTGAGGGGTCATATCTTCCCCCGAGTCACCACGCTTCGACATTAGGGAGCTTGTACCTGGAGACTCCGGAGGAAAGACGGCATTATCTGAAGCATAAATTCGTGGAGGTATAGGGGGCACGTCAAGAGGAGATATTGTTGACAGATAATGAAGAAGCATTTGGATAATCTGAGTGAAGTTAGGGCGTGCATTTGGGTCTTCATTCCAGCATGATGTCACGATTAAAGCCAAATCTTCAGTCAGCTCATCAGCACTTGGCCTTACATTCTGCACCACAGGTTTTACAAGAAAATCAATGAAAACCCAAGAGACCGTGGGTGTGGGCTATCAAACCTATAGTTAATACCATTGACAAAAATATACAAATTTCAAAGTTTGTTGAATGGTCCCCCCAATAGAGTTATATTCATCATTCCTCAGTCTTGGATAGCAGGCCAAATTTTCTTTGCCCACATGTCCTGATACCCTCTAAGGCTGAGGTAAGAACTTGTTTGGTGGATCAGAGAACTAGCTAAAAGCGCTTATCATCCTTAAAGTTCAGGATTAGGTTGACATTTTTTTCATCAAACACGTATTTTTTACTTTTTAGTTGAGGTGCTGAAGTTATTGTAGAGGACCATTTTAGCTATTTTCCATATATTTTTTCCTTTATTTTCTTAATAAAATATTGTCTGCGTCTCACTAACGTCAGGACATAAGGAGGTGGTGTAGTTATTAAGAAAAGTGGATTTATGTGGTTGATATTGAATTGATATTTAAAACCACACAAATTTTACCAAACTTGGTATGAGACCATCTTAGTGGGACAGGCCAAAAAAGAAAGATGGAACAACCTTCGCGGGATGGAGGGAGTATATTTTAAATATAAATTTTTCATAATTCAACGGATTCAGTAAATTCAGCCGTTTCAACCAAAATCTCATCAATTTCAGTAGAGTCACCTGATTTAGCCTATTTCAGTGTTACGAAACAGGCTCCTCATATGACAATAAAAGATTGAATCTAGTCCGTTGTAGCTAGTTCAACTTGAGGTTTTAAACTCGAGATCATCATCATTTCATCATCATTTTCATTTACCCCAGTGCCGCAAAGGCTCCCACCTACGGTGGGGTAAGGGGGGTCGGATGTACGCAGTCTTACCCCTATACTAAAGCACAGAGAGACTGTTTCCGGATGACCCATAGTGAAAATCGCGTCCAAAATTGCATGGACTGACTGCTGCTTCATTACAAAGAAGCGCAGACAGTTTACTGAGCCATTTTGCTTTATTCCATCATAATCTCAAGCCAAAAAATAATGAATCTTTGGCTCCATTGCAAATGATGGAAAAGGTTTTAAACTCGAGATGTAGTGGCAAAATTTAAAGCATCACAAACAGCTGAAATGGGACTTCAAGATGGACCACAGGGTTACATGGACTGCTGGAGTGGGACAAATACTTGCTCTAATACTAAGATAAAATTCAGGAACGGGTTGGAATCGCTCAACTAGGCCATAAGAGCTTTGAGTCATACCATACTAAAAGATTGAATTCAAACTCTTGGCTAGTTCAACTCAAAGTCTTATAAACTCATTGATCTCTCTCTAATTTTCTAAGGTTGATTCTAACAAATGTACTAAAATTATTTTTCTAAAAATGATAATTGAATGAAAATAGCGATGTACCTCCATGGCTCCATTTTAGCAACATACTATTGTAATTACTTGTGCATTAGTTTTTCCATTATCAACTGTTTCAAATAATGGAGTAAACTAAGCAAAGAACCAAGCAGGAACTAAATTCCTACTTGGGTACTTCAAAGTTATAGCACAATTGTCCTGGTGGTCCTAGACTCATTGGAGAAGCTTGCATCTAATGTGGTAGGATACGATGTACCAACATTTCTTGCAGTGAATTCAGAATTAGTGCAAACAAACAGGGAAAATAAAACATTAAGAAAGCATGTAGTACCACATAGTAACTGAATAATAACTATAAAGGGAAGAAGTCAAGAAACAAAAATTACTTTAAAAGCAGCAGCATAAGCAGCCTGGAGATTTGACATGCCCTCAAATGGTAACTTATTATGTATGAGCTCCCACAACACAATAGCAAAACTGTAGGCATCCACTTTGTGGTTGTAATGCTTCTTCTCTCCATGTCTTAATGTGACCGTGCTGTAGAGCTTCCACCCACATACAACAATCCAGTTACATATCAGTCACTTGTGAAGTCATATAGAAGATGAAGAAGAACACAGTGGAATTGCGAAAGGAATAAAGGCTTGTTTGGTTCGAGAATTTTAGAGGGGAGGAATAATATTATAGTTAGATCGTTGAAAATAAAGTAAAGATTAAAAACCCATATACATATGCATCATTGAACTAATCATATAGTTATTTCTAGTCTATGACTAACAAATAACGATAAATAAGTAAAATAAAAACAAACATCCTCTTCCTTTCCCTCCAAGATCCCCAAACCAAAAAAGCCGTACATGATTTTGTGTTTACCTCGGGAGCCATCCAGCGGTAGGTTCCGGTTTCAGCCGTCATCATCTCTGTCAATGACTCTTCCCTTGCCAGACCAAAGTCGGCAAGTTTAACAGTCTTGTGGTCAGCTGTTAAGAGCAGATTATCTGTAGCCATATTCATATGAAAGATAGATTAGAGAAACCAATAAGTGAAGCTTTAATTAGAGTGTGTAACTTGTATAACACCATTGGGATATGTTTGGAACGCCAAAATTGGTAGGAGAATGAAAAATGCTAAGGAGAATATTTTTGGAAATGTTTGATTTTGTCTTGGAAAATATGAAGGAAAATCAAAGTTGATAAAAAAAATTGCTTATGTTTATATTTGATATTGTTTATTTAAACAGACATACTGAGTATAAAAATAAAATGAGTTGGAACAAATTTCTAAAATCCAACTATTGAGTTTGAACTAAATGTTTGTTGTACCTAAATATGAATTTTCTTCCCTGTTTTCTTTTCTTAGTACTTTCAGGATTCTGAATGGATCCTAAAGCAATTTGAACATCAGCTTTAACATCCTCACTGCCTGAGTCTTAAGCTATATGCTAGAAGAGACTGTGAGGAACAGGCAAAGATAAACAACACTATTGCAGCGATTTAGAACTTTAATAATGGAGAAACTATGGGAGAAGATCTGGATTCTGGACAATAGCAAATCACTGCCTCTATTTGTAATTAATTGCACCATATTCCTTAAAAAGGTTCTAATATTTGCTCCACTTTACTAATTTGGAAAATATCATCATACCAAAATAAATAAATACCCTTACTTTTTTATTTTCTATCTCTTACTTTTCCTGCCTTTTCTACATTTTCATCTACTCTCTCCAATTATTCACTACCCCGGTAAACGGTGTAGCTATCAATGATTCTGCATTGTCTTGGTTTTTCTTCTGCCCTTCAAATTGGAAGATTCTTCCGATTCCCGCCAAAGGTTTGAACTCTTTGGGGTTGTTTGGTTGGACAATTACTC